GTATCTGGTATTTCAAAAAAGACCCTGGCAGCCAAGCAGGATTGAGCTGAGGCAGAAATCCAAAGTTATCCAAAATAGTTCCACCAATGTTCACTGACATGAATTCAGATGTTACAAGTTCAGGCTGGCAGGATACTGTTTCACCGGTTTTGGAGTTTCATATGAAGGCAAAAGTCCCTCCTCTGTAGTAGGTGTTTTCAGGCTTACCTTGTAAAGAGAATCTTCCCACTGCAGTAACACAGGAATCTTGCACTGTGTGTTCTGAAAGTATAATTAAGAATCTTAGAGAAAATTCATTATACTTGCTGCATATCGAACTTCTAAGTTCACTGGCAATTAACAGACACTAGTCAGGAAACGCTGCTTTTGTCAAAGAATTCCTTCGATAAAAGGAGATACCATTTGCTTTTTACATTGCACTAAAAGCACAGGGATATGGATTTTCAGTGGCAGTGGGGAAGCTGGTGGACCAGGAAAAAAAGAAAATGGGCGGAGATTGCTTCCCCTTGCCTTACTAGGAAAGCTATTCATGGATGTGTAAACAGCTACAACGCTGAGATGTGTTCTAGAGGTTTTCCAGTAGATTTGCTGGAATTATTAGTGGAGAAGGCTTCTTAATGTTCTTATGAGCTCTTAATTCCCTGGTCTGTTCCTAATGCAACTGGGCAATTGTCTTATTTTTTTTTTTCTTCCGCCTCAGTGGTAATATAAAGAGGAATTTTTTGACTTTTCCAATTCTAGTTCAGACTTTTCTCTCAGGGAGGGGGGAAGACACTTCCCTGATTCAGAGTCCTTCTGGCACATTTAACTGATCAAAAGCCAGTGCTTTTTTGTGTCAGATTTGTAGTGAACTTCACTCTGTGTAATAGTACTAGGAGCGAAACAGCAGCATGTTGCATTCGAATTTCCTTTCACGTGAACCACAGAATCACAGAGTGGTTTGGGTTGGAAGGGACCTTAAAGCTCATCCAGTTCTGGTGCCCTGCCATGGGCAGGGACACCTTCCACTAGACCAGGTTGTTCAAACCGCCATCCAACCTGGCCTTGAACACTGCCAGGGATGGGGCAGCCACAGCTTCTCTGGGTAATGTGTGCCAGCACCTCAGCACCCTCATAGTAAAGAACTTTTTGCTAATATCTCATTTAAATCCACCCAGCGTAGCCTGCAAAATGAGGCTGTGAGAGTAGGTCCATCTCATTCCCTCACATGCGCTTACAGATGAGATGGACGTACTTGATGGTCATTTAAGATGGAGAAATACTTGAGTTTCTTCATGTTGGTTTCGGTTTGTTGGTTTTTTTTTAATTCCCATTCTGCATGCACCCCTAGAGCAGATTCATCTAGAGATCCTCACCCTTCCTTTGCACCTCAGCTCCAGCTGCAGTGTTGTGGTCTGAGTACAATGACTGTGAATGGCTTCCCCGCATCTTTTCCCACAGCCACGGGAAAGGCAGCGTAGAAAGCAACCTTTTTAACGTGTGCAGCTCGCAGGGAAATTACATGTGAAGCAGAGGCTATGTGAGACACGGAAACCTGCTTCTTTCTCATCCGCTGTTCTCCGGGACGCTGTGGCCTCAGGAGGCAGCTGGTCACAGCGCCAAGGGACACCGAAGGCTCCAGGCGGAGGCTTTGGCTGCGGCCTAGTGAAGCCGCGGGGTTGGAGGAGGGCCTGTGGCTCCAGAAGCAGCAG